GTATTTAAAATACAAAATATGAGTAACTGTATTCCGTTACAGTTACCATTTAAAAAGGTGATATTTAGAATATAGTTACTTTGTTGAAATAAATGGATTACACGGCGGTATTTTCCTGTTTCATATTGTCGTGGGTCAGGACTGTTTGGGTTTTGTTTGACAGCTATGTTCCAGGTGGCAGCGTTATGGTTGCCATGGTTACAGACTCTCTGCGACTGTGTGTTTCCTGGGTGAGAGAGCGCCTTTTTGTTGTTGTTGTTGTGCTAAGCTACAGAATGCTACAGGCATAGCTCTAAAGAATGTAGCCTCATGGGCAGTGTAGTCCGTGCTGCAGGGAGAATGGACTGCCATACCCGTTATGTGTCTGTGAGCGTGAGGAGGGAGAAAAAGGAAGTAGAAAAGTACAAGCTGTCATCGAGGAAAAACGGGAGCTGGAAGCATGTAAATATAATAATAACCACTGCAGCCAAGAAGAGTGCCTGATGAGCCCAGTTGTAAGTAAGCTATTAAGACTCAATTGTACACTGTGTTCCTGTTTTCCTCCGAAACAATAAGTTCCGTTGGAGCAGCCTTTCAACCCTCTCTGTCTCTCGCTAGCAAAGTTGACTCACACGACAAAGTAAAGCTAGTTTTCAGCTATGAGCCCGACACAGAACCCGCCGTATTAGCCAGAGGTCCCTTTACTACGGTTCGGAGCCGCGGACCTTCAGTAATAGTAATAAATCACACAGCAATAGTACATTCATGCAGTTGTAAAAAACATGATAATATATTAAGTAATCCAAAGTATTCAGAATACATTACTCTCATTGAGTAACGTAACGTAATACGTTACAAAATACATTTATACATTTTCGGGCATGTATTCTGTAATCTGTAGTGGAATACATTTTAAAAGTAACCTTCCCAACACTGTGTGCGCATTGTGAGCATTGACTACAACAAATCAGTTAAGAGCCCGTTAAAGGAAAATATGCACGACTCCTTTCTCAGTGGGAAGCTGAAGAAGATATCTGAACCCACTCTTCTGTTTGTTCAGTGAATGTGCAACAGCAGCTATCAGTTAGTTAAGATACGCATGTAAAATCTTTGAAAGAGCACCAAAATAGATCTTTTTCCAAATCAATGAACACAACATTTAGCTGTTTTAACCCAAGCTGTTCCCCATATCCAGTATTTATCTTAGACTAAGCAAACTAACTGCTGGTTGACGTTCACCATACAGACATCAGAATGACATCAGTTGTCATCCAATTGCCCAACAAAAACTATATTTTGCATGATGTCACACCAATCCAACAACTTTGCATCTTTTATTTTTAGTTCTTGAGAATGGATCTTCATTAACTCATTCACTGCCATTGACGTCTATAGCCGTCAATTGCAGTGAATGAGTCAATGGGTTTAACTCATTCACTGCCAATGGCTGGCAGTGAATGAGTTAATTACCTCAAACACGGTTAGAAACAAATGCACCAGTGGAAAAGTGGTGCGGTCATGGTTTGAGGCAGAGAGGCACAACATGAGAAATACTTCACAAGGGAATGAATTACCTCAAAAAACTCATCATAGTGCTCCTGCATCTCCGTGTCACTGATGGTACCTAGTGGTTAAAGATAATTCACAGTTTCAGCAACAAACACTAAGTTGCATAAAATAATTGCTTGCAATGACATCAATGGTCAGTTCACATTAACTGCTCGTTTTCAGGTGGTAAACGTAATTAAAGTGCAAATGCATTTCTTTAAATTAATAGGTGTGAGTTAGCATTCAAAATATCTGATAAATGAAAATTTTAAAAAAAGGAAGAAGAGACTTGAGAAACACCCTTAAACAGCGTCATGAATGGCACTGGCAACCTATGCTTGGAGCAAGAAATTAGGAACTGATCTGAGCAGAGCCAGGGAAAGCTCGCATCTGTTTGGGAAATCTGTTTATACTTTATATGCTTGAAAGTAAATAAAACATATCCACAGATATATTTAAATATTTTAGATTTTAATATCAGCAAATGTCATTATCAGTATATCGGTCTTAAAATCCCTGTACGCAGAACGCTCTTTCAGAGTAAACCTCAGACTCTAATGTCTAATTTGTCTGTGATCCAAACAACGCAGGTTAAACCAAGCTAACCTTTAAATGTAACAAATGTCGAATAAGATTAAAAAACAGCTAACCAACAGTTTGTTATAAATAACAGAATAAATAAATCCAGTGAATAAGTGCTTAAGATGTAGACATGAATAATCTATACACAGTGTAATTGTTGCTATATTCCAGATAGAAGACACTTTTCAGTTGGCGTGTTTCTGTAAGTACAGCTAACACATTGATTTTAATTAACTATGTAAATAAAACCATTAGAAAGGGCTTGATAAGCTTCGCTTCATTGTGTCACTTTAAATCTCAACTGCTGCCTACTCGCAGCAGCACGGGTGGCAAACAGACACAACATGGGTAAAGGTCAATAAAAAATAAATAACTTTTCAGACACTCACAGACCACATTTTTAATAATAGTAATATTTTAATATATAATAATAATGGCCTATTTTTTTTTTTTTTACTTACAGGTCAGGCCGTCCACAGACTGGGCGCTGTTCTGGGGGTTCCGGTAAATGTTCAGGAGGGCAATCGTCTGAAGCACAAATGTTGATGATGATGAGCACTTATACACATTGGGTATCAAATTACAATATTTAGCAGATCAAGCCAATCCCAAAATCAAAAATTGTGATTGTAAAGTACACTTTTATTTTGTGCGCAGTTTATTAACTCTTATCTGCCATTTCTGTGAGGTCTGTGCTGCTCTTTTATCAATTTGAATACTAGAAATAAAACTCGAGGATCGGCAACTTACCTGGCTAAATGTCGGCTTATTGTGTAATCTGGAGCAGCGGTCACCATGTCGGCAGGCACCAATTTTAAAATAAAAAGAGCAGTTCACCCTGTAAAACAAAATATATTAAGAGCACTGAAAAATGGGAGGCTGTACTCTCAGGTGAGGTAAACATAAAAACAATGTTTATTAATATTTCTGAATACAAAAAAACCAAACAAACTGATACCCTAAAAGATCTAGATGGGACTAGAAAACATACAACACATAACAAATAACATTAAAAAGAACAAGTATGTAAAACCCTGTGAACTCCTGGTAGTTTACATGACTACTGACATTATTTCTTATTTCATTGTATCTTCTTCCAGCTGCTCCTACCTCAATCTGCCTTTCCGCCTTCACTACATTCATCAATTATCTGTTGTTTTCCTCGTTTCCCTCCTTCCTAGCAGCTCCATATTCAACATCCTTTGTCCAGTATTTTCACCACGTCCAAACCATCTGAACCTTGCTTCTCTATCGTTGTCTCCAAATCACTTAACTTGAGCCATCCTATTTTACATATATACTCATTTCTAATCCTGTCCATCAAGGTCATTCTCAATGTCAATCTAGCATATTCAACTGTTTTTTTGTCAGTGCCATTATCTCCAAACCATGCATCATAGCAGGTCTCACCCCTGACACTCCTGCCTGCACACTCTTCTTCAACTGTTGTTTCGGATGACTGTATGGCCCAATATTTCAGAATTGTTTATAATACTGAAAAAAGTACGTTTCCGTCACCTTCGAGTTGTACCATTTACTTAAATGGTAAATTTCAAAATTCTATTGTACAAAAAATCAGCTCAATTTCTTCATAATCGCACTGCTCCAATACACCCAAACTACTGCTGGTTACACATTCCACTTTCACTTTACATGATCATTTTACTCAGTATTGAACAGTTTTCACTCAGTATTATTATTAAAAAAAAAATTAATAACAACCCATGAAGTTTTACACGTTTTCATTTCAATGTCTGCTTTACATTTCTACGAGGCTACGTTGCTTCATTGGGCATAAGAACGCTTTTTTGTTGGCGGTTCAGCAAATTAACTGTTACAACCCGGAAAGAGGACAATAGAAAAAAAAGTGCAATGAATAAAATAGCGGTCTAGACAAATTACAAAGACGAAGTTCATTTACCTAAATGCGATTAAGGAGCACTTGTAGTACATTGGAGGTTTCCATTGTTTCAAACACGTGTGAGTTTTACAAAGTATGATATTTGTTAACGCCAATAAAGGGTCTAGTTTGTGCACCACTTACGCTCAACTTCGAATATGAATTTACTATATTTTCATTTAAAGTTACCCGCTGTGATTGCTTTCTGACCAGCTCAGCACTGTTCATCACCCAGATGTTGCTAGCTAGCTTTTAGCACGAGCGGCGCGGTTTTTCACTTGCGAAAGCTAGCATATCGCGCTAGCAGATAAAGCCACAGAAGCCTAGCCAGCTGCATGCTGTAAATACCACAAGACTAAATCCTGTCAGCAAAAAGTAGCCATAGGATAAACAGATGAAAATTAAGACTGAAATTACCAAGTTAACATTAAATACTTACTTATCTTTTTCTGTCCCAAAAATGGATGCTAGGTACTCCGCCATCTTGGCTCGCTTGTAGCGTCAACAATTGTATTTCCGGTAAAGGGCCTCCAAAGTAAAAGCCTAACCTCTGTCTGCGCTAATAATAAAACAATTTAACAGTTTATAAGGCACCCATGCATAGTATCTTTGTAAAATTATTTTTTGCCAGCATAGGGAACTGTCATTTAAATTTAAAATGTAAAACGTGCTCAACTGCATAATGGTGGCATCATTAAGTTAAATTATCCCCTGTACAATGAACGGTTAAAATTTATTTATTTATGTGTGGCTCAAGTGTTAAAGTTTCTTTTGTTTCTTGCCCCTTTTCTTTTTTTAAGATTAGAAACTCCCAAAATATTCCTCAACAGAGAAAAATCATTTATATTTGTACAAAAGCCCCATACTCTTACAGATTTTACATCTGATTATTTATTTTATATCCAGCTAATTCGATCCTTAATCTAGCAAATCTAGAGTTGACATATTTCAGAATTCACTAATCAACTTAAACTTGTTTTAAATTCTGATAAAATGAGGTCTATATTATACACATGCTTATTTAAAAGTATCCAGCCAGTCCATATTGAAACAAAATGAAACTACTGATTCTTATGGATGTTTAAGACTCTGCCTGGATGCTAGTCTCATTTTTAAGACCTATGTGGAACACCTGTGAAGAAAATCAAAAGGAAAGATTGGATTCATATTTTGAAACAAATTCTGTTTTTCAATCATTAGTCATCACATAGCTTTACAAGTCACAATTTTGTCTCTGTGTTATTATGGTAATATTGCTAATATACATGCTTCTGCATCCATCTTCAAGTTTCTTGATTCAGTCTCACAGTTGTAATTTATCAAAGCAGAATCTTTTCTTATTCAACCTTGCTATAATATGAAAAGATGTGATGGTAGCATTGTGTGATGTTTATTTCCAAAGTTATACTGCAAAGATTGCCTGATTACCTCTGCTCTTTGATTACTATTAAATCAAAACTTAGATTTAAATGGAACAAGCAACAAGTCTCTGATTTCATTGGATCTGCATCTGAATCCCTGTATTCTTTTTCTTTCTGTACACAAATGTTTTTGAAAAGGAGATCTCAATCTCAGTGCATCAACCTGTTTAAATGAAGGATTTAACAATAGTTCACATGTACGTGTGTGTATTTGTTTTCCTTAGAAATGGTTTAATAATTTACCGATTTAGCTTTCTTGATTACATTTTCATATTACATCATTAAAAAAACAAAATGATAAATTAATGCAACATCTAACGCCTTGAAATACATGAAAGTGATACACAAAACCGACTTGCAATGTTTTACAAATAAAATAAGGAAACATGAATGCTATGGACTTCATCAGAAGATATTTATTTAGTAATCTCTATATTTTACATGTCAAAACATTACAGGGAATCAAAAGGAAACATAACCACATGTTTAGTGGATAGATTGGCTGGTCCATTGCATTATGTTTGCGGCTCCTTTACGAAAAAAAAAGAACAGCAAAAACACATGTAGGGTCTATACCAATCAAAGTAAATGGTAAATGGCCTGTATTTGTATAGCGCTTTTCTATAAAACTTTAATGATTTAGCTTTCCTATTAGTTATAATCCCATCAGTGATAATAATGCACATCAATATAGGCATGGACAAAAAACTGAAACTAGACCCTGAAAAGTTTATATATTTACTTATAATGTAGCACTTTTCACAGACAGTCACAGTGTTTTGTACAAAATAAAAAGTAGGAATAACCAGAAATAAAAATATAATAGCAACTTAAAATGAAGTTTAAAGCAAGAAACCCCAACTTGTTAGAAAAGAGAACACCAAAAAAAAATGCGAGAATAACATAATCTTAGTAGAAATCTGCTTTTTACAGAGGTAGTGTGTGTCAAAGGCAGAAAATTCAGCCTACTCCTAAAAGGAAAAAGAAGTTGAGATAGGGGATCATGTGGGGATGCACACAGCTCATTTCTTTGCCCAGAGGAACTGTTGGAAATATTTGAAATAGCCCGGCACAAAACTTTTGCTTTTCACACGCTTTTCAGTACTGAAAACAGTCTGTAGCATACATTAAGGAGAAAAACTAAAAATCAGTTACGGGAGGGCATGGTTGCAGTAAAACTGATTAAATTTATGGTAACATTTTCAAGAGACTACCTTTATATTTACAGTTGGTCCTATTAAAAGGCAGTTTTATTTAGCCATTAATGCTATCTAGTCAGGATACATCTGGACTAGACATTTGTTCCTAAATTGCAACAAAGTTGGAGCTGAGAAAGGCACGTCCAGCTACTATTGAAACATTTAGCTGGCGGTTTTTCCACTACACAGACTTTAAGGTAACTACAGTCTCTCCGGTTAGTCTCCGCCCCTCCTCAGATTGAGTGTAGTTGGCTAAAAACTTGCATGATATCTCTCGACTGTGTGCATTTTTTTGCCGATTATCTTCCACAATAGAACATCAACATCTCTGAAGGTCTAAATTTTAAGAGGTATGATTATTTCAGAGACAGATATGCTTGTTGTGAGGAAAATGTACCACACCGTCGTCACGTTTGTTGTATCTGGGGTGTTCCCGCTATTTTATGTAGCTCAAGCAGCAAAGCTAACCTAGCTAGCGTGTTGTTGATTCCTAGTCAGCCTGCTGGGAAGAGGCCGCCCACCTACGAGGCAGAAACCCACAGTATTAGCCAACTTCCACAAAGGCTAGGCTAACGCTGGCTCCCTCGGACTTTTGCTTCCTCTTCGGCTTGAAAATAGAAATAACGTTGGTTGTTATAGCAGTCGCTAGTTAGCTGTTTTGCTAACAGCACAGTGGAGAAGCTGCGTACTGTCGCGGTGCTGATTACCGTCCAACCACAAACTCAGGGTGGGTATAATTCCATACGCGGTGAAACAGATTTTTTTAGTTCTTTCTTCTCCTTATTATCCATTTACACGTCTAAACGAGCGTTGTTTCAGTGTATCTCGGTCGCTTTCCTCTAAAACTTGTCGTTGGATCGATCATCGCTGCTCTCGGAAGTCTTGCAACGCTGTAAAACCTTAGCCAGGATTTCCGGCTCCTTTCCATTTGCCCTATGCTGTTTTGTTTCCGTTTATTCTATTTCCGTTTTAAAAGTTTTCTACGTGCAGAGTTAAAGTGTGCTTTAACAAAGATTTGCTGAAGTTACGAAGCACTCGGAGTTTATAGGATATTTTCACGGTTGTTTAGCACGCCGGGATCGATGGTTGTGTAATGCAGCTGCCTCGCCCCGCGTTGCTATATTGAAGCTAACTTGTTTTTTGTAGGCCTGCTTCACTGTACACGTGTAGCCTAACGCATAAATTTGAGTTTGGTGAATTTTTCCAACACGTTTTTTGGACGTGTAGTTATACGTGGTTAGTATTTTCTGTAACTACTGGCCTACTAGTTGGCCTTTAGAAGCCACAGCCTCGCCCTCGAGTTGGCTAACGTTAGCAGTCACTGAACTGTTGTAGACGGCCAATGAGGAGTCGAGGCTGAGAGGCCTTTATGGTAGAAAACCCCCATCAAAGTGCCCTGTTTTATTTAACAGGCACAGTATGCTCTTTAAGTTACACGACAGTGAAGTCGTCATTGTTATTTACACTGTAGTATGTATTAGTTGTTTGTATTACTTCGATTAAAGAAATTACAACAGAAAGGTGTTATTGTAGTGATATTGCCCTTTTAATACCTAGTTTCATATTTATTTTTAAACTTTTTTTAAAGAACGTAATTATTCGTTTAATAATTTATTAGTTTAAAAGATCTATTAAATATCGTTTTTCAAGTATGTTTTATTTTAGGAATTTATTAGAAGATTACAAACTATATCAAAAACAACCACTTTTATGTTTATTTTCACTTTATTTTTACTTAAATATTTTTAAGAAAGTAAGTTTAGAAATTTAGTAGAAGAATAAAAGATCAATTAAATATCCACTTTTATTTAGTTCTTTTTAATTTTAAACTAGTATTTTAAATGATTATTAGTTCTATCAAAAATCAGCTTTTTTATTTTATTTTTTTTTACAATTTTAGGTAAAAAATATTACTTGATTTATTTATTAGTTGATTAAAAAGATAAATTTTGTTTAATGATTTCATACTGTATTTGTTATAATTTTGTTTTACAAAACCAAAATTTGCTTGCACCAACTTTGGCTGTTTAATATAATTTTTGTGATTTAAAAATAAATTTAATTAATATTAGTCTTTACAAATGGGTTAATTAAATTCTGATTAAAATATATTTTTGTTTATGGATTGTCTAAAAGTAACTAAGGTAACAAAGACTCTTTCCCCATATAAATATATGTGGACCAGTCCTTCTTACATGTGTAGTGACCCCCAGAGGCCTACTTTGGATCTGAAAAAAAATAATGGTGCATCTCATGTTATAAAGTTATTCCAAAAAAACCAAAACAAAAGCACATGCATTGATAAGTCAGTGCAGCATGGTGTTGTGTTGGTTAGCACCATCACCTGGGTTGGACTCCCGCCCAGCTGTGAACGTAAACTGGATAAGCAAGAGTAGATGGATGGATGGAATGCCATTAATAATCACTACAAACATCAATTTGATGTGCTGGATAGATTTTTGGGTTTTCTAATTGAAATTAGCTGTTTAATTTAACAGTGAGGAGGAGGATAGAAGCTAATTATAGTTTTAGTTTAATTTTAGCATTTTTTAAGTGATTAATTAGGTAGTGTGGCCAGCTACCTAATTAAGAGTTTATTGGTTCTTTTCTTTTATGCTGATTATCTGGTTGACAGTAATTTTTGTTTAATGTGTCACTTTATATTCGTGTTGGTAAAACGTTATCTCCCAGCAGAATGTCTAAAAGTGAGCCAGAAGAGATGATAGAGATCGAGATAGATGAACGGGAGAAACAGGCATGCCTGGAAGAAGGGTGAGAGTGATGATTGCATAAATAAAACAATTAATTTGTTCATGCAGCAGCTGTGGTTTTACATTTCTGTCTCATGTTATTTGATTTGTAGTGTTGAGGAGCAGACCATCACTGCGTCAGATTTGATTCAGCAAGATATCGACATAAACGAACCAATTGGTAATCTGAAGAAGCTTTTGGAGCCTCGTATCCAAATCTCATTGGATGCTTATGAAATTTGTTTGCAGGACATTCAGGTAAGAATTAGATATTGACACCTTTCATGATCTGTTCATGATTAAATGATTTTTGTTTGGTCCTGGGTTGAACTGTTTCTCACTGCTGTCTCGCTTTATCTGTTCTTTTCCTCTTAGCTCCACCCTGATCACAGTCTCTTCGATCAGGGAGTAAAGACCGATGGCACAGTGCAGCTCAGCCTGCAGATAATAACCAAACCAGGTACCAAAAGCGTGACACATTTCATATCAAGTACTCAAGTTAGTAAAGAGAGAGTACATTTTAAAATGCATTGTTTTTACTTTTGTTTCTAGGAGAGGAGAGGTTGAACATCTTGGAGATTGTAAAGCCAGTAGAAACAGTTGAAGTAGTGATTGATCCAGATGCAGCAGGGGAAGAGGGTGCTCTGGTGGAGGAGGGACAGCTTATTGCTGTAGAGCGGTCTGCCCTGTCTGATGAGACCTCAGAGCAGGTTACACGTTGGGCCGCAGCTCTCGAAGGCTACCGGAAAGAGCAAGTCCGCCTGGGCATACCGTACGGTGAGGAATACTTGAATGAACTACCTTATTGTAGTGGAAAACAATCATTATTGTGCTAACAAACAAAGACACAAACACGGTTGGTAATGTGTGAGGTTTCTCTCCTCAGACCCTATGCTCTGGTCTGCTGATCAGGTGATCCACTGGGCTGTGTGGGTAATGAAAGAGTTTAACATTGATGAGATGGAAATAGGAAGCATTCACATCCCAGGGCGAGACCTCTGCACTTTCACTCAGGAGGAGTTCCTTCAGAAAGTGCCCAATGGAGAGATACTCTGGAGTCACCTGGAACTCCTTCGCAAATGTAGGTCTGACTCAAATGTTTGTTTCAGCTGATGGAATAAAATGTGTTTTCATGCCAAAATGAAACTAATATTTTGTGCTAATTTCAGACGTGTTGGCCAGCCAGGACCAGTCTGGAGGAGACGCCACCGTCACGATTGATCAGCGTAAGTGTTAGCGTGAAAAATCATCCAAAAGACAATTAAAATAACTGTTTACCTTACACTGAAGAACTCAAATGGATGAGTGATGAACAAATGTTCCCTCTAAGCTGCGCGTGTGCGCAATTGCGCACTGCTGGCACGGTCTCTGCGCACAGAAAATCTGCGTTGCGCACAAAAAAAAATCTAACCTGAATTGAAATTAAAATTAATACTCTGACAATTCTCTTTTGCAGTGTTAGTCAGTAAGTGACTGTCTGCTCCCGTATGGAATTAGAACGATGTTCTGTAAATAGTTTGCAATGTTTATTTAAAAAAAAAAAAAAAACCCGCCTTGGCCGCATTTTTAGGTAAACAGCTGCAAAAAACTTTGTTTGCATAACTCTTTTTTGAAGAACTATATAATTAATTGCCCAACATTGGTCATTATATACTGTATTTTGCAGACAGAGTTACAGGACTCTGTCCCAGACCACTGACTCATAATACAAGTCAGCTTTATTAAAAAAAAAGAAGAAAGAAAATTTTGTTTTCAAAATTGGAGTTCAAGTTATTTTTACTTCCAATAGTGTTAACATACTAAACAGGTCATGGACAAGATTTATTTATTAATTTTCATTGTAAGTGGGCTAAAGCAGTTAATTAAAACCAGTCTAACATAAATGTAAATGCTGTAATTTGATTATTTTAATAAACCATGTAACTTGGATGGATTCGATGCTGGCGTGACCACAGTGTACACGTCTGCTGTTGCTCACAGTGGTCCAAGGGACCGCTCAGGGAGTTTGTGTGTTCGCTCAGACACGTGAAAAATTAGAGGGAACATTGTGTTTTCAGTGAGAGACATTTCATCACCAAAGTCCAGATAAAGATAATCAACTTTATTGTGCTATGTTTAAACTTTGTAAATTCCCTCAGTTGTTTGGGTTATCTTGTCTGATTATACATGACCATGCCCTCCACATAGTTCTGCTCGTTAAACTCTGGACAAAATCCATATATTTAACAGGAAGTTATTTATTAAATAGATTCAGATCCAAAACACATGTTAATGAAGAGTTTTCCCATCTGTTCCTCCAGCTGTGCAGATAATCCCAGCTCAAGTGAGCACACCCACTGCTATAAAGGTGTTGAAACAGAACCGTGGTCCCAGAGCACCTCGCATTTCAGGAGGGGAGGAGCGCAGCTCACCTGGGAACCGTACAGGTAGGACACACGCACACAGCCGCTCTCTAGGCAACTCACTTTTTGTAAAGTCAGAAAGTTTTCAAAAGTGTTCAGGGATAGTTTTGTCACCAATTTTAGGTTTTAGTTTTTAAATTTACAATCTGACAGTAATGTTGCTTTGCATTCAAACTGAAAATGCAACGTTTTTAGCCATTTTGTCTGACAAAACCTTCCTTAATGCGCTATTTTAGACTAAATAGTTGAATACATTTAGAATTGGCAGATTTAGTAATGGTACAAAATACTCCTATTACCATTTCTAATGTTATGTTCTAATCAGTTGTGGCTGTTAAATTGTCTTTTTTATTACAGATACACACATTTTATTTGAATAATCTTTTTCAAATACTTTGTGTTGTTTTTCTGTTGTCAGGTAACAATGGTCAGATCCAGCTGTGGCAGTTTCTGCTCGAGCTGCTGACCGACAAGGACGCAAGAGACTGCATCTCCTGGGTAGGCGAGGAGGGAGAGTTCAAACTCAACCAGCCTGAGCTCGTGGCACAGAAATGGGGGCAACGCAAGAACAAGCCTACCATGAACTATGAGAAGCTCAGTCGAGCCCTCAGGTTTGTGTGTTTTTGTTTAATGGCAACTTTTTGTGGCACTCTATCTAAAGTTTGGAGCCAGACATAAGCCATTACCTCACAGGCACCGCAGACAAATGTCTGGTGCAGTGAGATTGACTTTAAACATGCTGCCAACTTTCCAGTACAAGTCGATTTAGAGTGTAGCTGCAAGTTAGCAAGGCTTCCTCCTGCAGACGCAGACAGCAGTCTTCTTAAAACAGAATATTTCCAGTAGTAGGCCGATGATGCCGACTGTTTCCCTTATGTGGTAATAACAATAATAAAAACAATAGTACATTTTATTTTTTGGCGCCCTTCAAACACACCCTTTGCAAGCCTGAACATTACAGCTAAAAGGGGGATTTTCCTGTCAGTGTAGCTAGCCAAACAACGGAGAACCACTTACTGCTTAAGAGACAGAGTGAAAGTGGACAGTAGAGCCTTGATTTCTTAACAAAAATGTCATTGTTGCAGCCAGGGACAGCAGAAGAGTGATCCCCTTATTTTCAGTTTCAGTGCCCTTTTTTCTGACTGAGTTATTGGGTTTTTTGGGGGGGGGTTATTAGTTAGCTAAAATAAACTACTGTAAGTCTATTAGCAGTAATTAACCAATTAACCTGGAGATGACACATTCTGTACTGACAGAAGATGGCGCTCAAAACTTTAAACACATATCTTAAATCCAGCTTCACAGACAGCGTGACATCTGTCAGGTTTTTGAGAGCAGGGCACCATGGTGTGAATGAGCCTTTATACATGTAGTGCCCACTTTATAAATGAAATGGTGGTAGCTTAGTTATAGCAGGGTTTTGAGGTGTGATTTGAACTGTGTCAAAGAATTTAGGCGATAAAAGTGAAGTGGAAGTAAATTCCAAAGACAAAGTGCATCACACCTAAAGGCTCTGGCACTCATCGCTCAGCAGGAGAGCAGCTCAAGCTGAGCAAAGGGAAGGGGTGTAAGGATGAAGGAGGTCTGAAAGATATGGGGCTGCCAAGTCACCGAGAAGGAAAATCTTGCATTGGATATGCTGAGGAATAGGGAGCCAATGAAGCTGGATGAGAATGGCTGTAATATGGTCAGAGTTCTGTACCGTCTGGAGCTGATTAAGGAGATTTTCTGGGAGACCAGAGAGAGTGGTATTGCAGGAATCCAAATGGGAGGCAACCAGGACTTGAGTGCTGTGTTGAGAAAGAAGTCTAGAAATCTTAAGTGGGTGGTAGTAGGCCGAATGTGATGTGGACGATAAAGAGTATTGTTCAAGATGACTTTAAGACTTTTGACGCTTTGGGAAGTGTGGACCTGACAACCATCTTTAGAGACAACAAAATGGTTTATTTTGTGAAGTCAGGATAAGTTTTATTGCCATTGATATTTAGCTGATTGACTGTCACACTAGTAGTGATGGCCTGTAGGCAGGAGTGACGATCCAAGATAGGAGGATATGAAGAGGAAGAAGAGAGGTTCTTTCTGCTACTAAGAGAACTTAAAACAAACCTGATTATTCTGATATTTTAAAATGTAAAGCTGCTGTAATATAAAAGAACGGATACACTGATGTATTGTCCATTATTCATTTGTTGAAAGCCATCTGCATATCTGTTGTCTCTCATCAGTTGATATACTTTGGTGTGATTCTGAGTTTTGCATTTTCATTCAGATACTACTACGACGGGGACATGATCTGCAAGGTGCAGGGAAAGCGCTTTGTCTACAAGTTTGTGTGTGACCTGAGGACTCTGATTGGCTACAGCGCTGCTGAGCTCAACAGCCTGGTGACCGAGTGTGAGCAGAAGAAACTGGCTCGCATGCAGATGCACGGCATCGGGCAGCCGATCACTACAGTGACCCTGGCCACCACGACGCTAGACAAGGACAGCTGAAGGTCGTCACATTATAGCGCTTGTCAAGTGTTGCGGACAAAACGTGTGCTCCACCGCTGATAAAAAACGTCTCTCAGACACAGAAATGCAAAGCTGGTCTCTGATCAGCATGGATTACCACCTTTATTATTGTCTTTACAGTTTGATTCAAGTTAGACTGAGACAGGTGAAGTTTTTTTTTTTAGCTTTTCTGTTACTCTAATCAAGAGAAGAGTGTTCAGAATGAAGGGAGAATGTCTTTCTGATTACTGATTGTTGCGTGCATGTCACTGAATGCTTGAGTGTGACTGAAAAAATCCAGTTAAGAGCTTTGTGTTGTGTGTTCCTTGTCTGTAGTTAGGACCATTTCCACTGTATATACCGGTATTTCATGTTTTTGATAGCCACAAGGGCAAGTGTATTTTCATATTTTCCATTTATAGAGGACCCGTTTTGTATTTTATTTAGTTTGTTCCCTGAATTATTGGACCCTTTTTGTCCACTGGGGGAATAAAGTGGCAAGCATTTTCTTAATAGCTGTGTGAGAAGTTTCTCTTTTTAAGACTCACATTGACAGACACCCAAATGCTTCTATGTACATTCAAAATTTTATTGATGGTATAGTGAGTGTAGAAAGCTTTTTCTAAGCAAATTGTTCATTTAACTACACACAGAGAAAGGTCACTGAATCAATGAGCAGAGGGACAAAGAGTTTGTTTCATCACTAGGCTCCAAAGATACCCAGAGTGAGCATCAATACAAATTGAAAAATTTGCCTGATTAAGAGCTTCAGTCAGTGTCTATCCACATGTGGGTGCAATGTGCAGGCGATATGTGTTGTATTTCTCATAGAAATGCACAATATGTCACATTCATGGTTAATAATTTAGAGAGAGGGCCATGTTTCCTCCTAATAAGTTACAGATTCGACAGGAGCTGAAATATTGAGCACAGGACAAACAGAAGCGCTGTACACGTATACATTGGTGATGTAGAAAAATAGAATGTGACATTTGGTGGAGGAATGTGTCCAGAGAGGAGAAAATGTCTGATTTCCCCACGCCCAAACAGTCCTATTTATGAAATGCTCACATACGACGTCCCAAAGTGCCGCAATGTACAATATTGCTGACACAGCAAGAAGGAGAGGATAAACATGAGGGATGGGGGGGTTGGGAAAGAAATGACTGGAAGTGGGAATGGAAGTGAAGGAAGGTGTCGTCATCTGAATTATTTACAGCAAAGACAGTGGAATGATAGGCTTTCATAAAAACTTTCCATCTTAAAAGGTTTGAACCTCGAGCCTCTTTCTAAGAAAAATCCAAAGTGCAGCGACAGTTGGCATCAGAGACTGTAACAGCAATATTTGGTGGCAATAATCAAAACTCCCAAAAATGACAAGAGTGCATAGAACGCAAACAAGTAACACAATCATCTTCCTTTCGGATACTATTACACTTCATATATTACATACATAGAGCTTTTTTTTCTGCCCATGCAGCTAACACAACAGTGAAGCATGGAGATGAGCAATAAAGAGCCAAGATTCAGTTAAAGCAAGTCTGTGACGACAAAGCAGACCGGATTCTGAATACTCGTTTTTTTCTTCATGTCACAAAGAAGACGCCAGAAATGTACAATCCTTCTAAAATATCTAGGGAGAGGACCCCCCCCCCCTTCCCCTCCTCGTCCTGAGGACCTTCACATACAGTATACTTTTAATCAGTCATCAATATTGCCATGCACTACATATACTTACAGCTAATCTCTGTCTTAATATATTACACGTTTAAAAAAAATGTTTTTCCTGCTTTTACATATTTTTGATTGTATATATTTATGTATTTTTTTCTTCATTTTTTTTCTCATTTTTTGAAAAATAAACCTGAAACACTATTCGTGCGACGGGTTGCTCTGAGAGCTCTCGTCGGACCGGTTTGAGGAGCAGTGAGGGAGTAATTGGTAAATTACAAGTTTCGGCTGTGGGTGTCTTACTGCCGTGATGTCGTATAAACAGTCGACGAGGGGTTTTCCAGTACAAATGCTATGAGAACTCCAGGGGCTGACTGAAATGTGCAGGTGTAACAGGGTACCTTTGTCTAACTGGGCTGCTGGGTAATGCTTAGCTCTGTACAATCAAGGGATTTAAGGAGGCTTTGTTTCATATCAGTTTTCTTTGGCCCAAACCCCTGACAAAAAGGTCTCCTTTCCTTACTTTCAAAGACACAAACCAGGCTATGCAGTCATCCTCGCACCCTTCACCTCCTGAACAGGGCGCTGAAGGTGCTGGGGCTGAGGGCAAAGGAGCTGAATGGAACAGAGCGCAACCTGACACTGTGGGGGAAATGTTGTTGTGCAGCTCTTTAGTTCTGCATCTGCTCGAAGAATTTGTAGGTGGGATTCTCGTAGCCGTTCTGCTGCATCTTGGCCAGGTGACGCTCCTCTGGCGTCACAGCTGCATCCACCTTTGGACAAGAGGATGAGGAGTTACTAACACGCGAACCGTGTTTGATCTATGAGCACAAACTGGTGAGCCTTTTACCTCGATCACGCCGTGGTGAATTGAAGTGTACTGTTTCTTCCTCAGCATCACCAAGGTAATGACAATGACTGTTGCTATGACCACCCCACCAACCATCAGCCCGATAATGGCGCCTTTATTGGATCCAGCGTCATTAGCGAAAAACACCTGACATTAAAGAAAATAATAATAGTAAGTCAGTCATAAACCCCTGAAGGAGATGATATTTGATGACTGGGTTTGCTGGGTTTTCCTACCAGTTTTTCATGATAAACTTCATATCCAGCACTCTGCCTCTCTTCAGTGTCCATCCGCACTTCTGGCATCTCCTCCGGCTTCAGGGCAGACACTGAAACCACAGAATCAATCACCCAAATTAATCCCAGAAATCGAGCACATGGATTTCTGCATCTCTCCTAAAACGGAGAGAAACAGAAAATCATTTGCACCCACAGCCATCAGACCTTTTAATTCTCATCCAAATAGCAGATGAGCTATTTAAGACATATGAATTTCCCTCTGGGATTAAAAAAAAAAGAAAAAGATTCTTATCCTTAGTCTTATAGGAAATGAAGCAGTAGAAAGACATTTAGAGGTGAAATAAAACCCCAAACTGTCTTTTAATACACAAACAGCGGGAGGAGGTGATTTCATTTGACACTGTGGATACCTGTAAAGTCCTCAGAGTACGTGGGATTATTTGCCCTCGTATTAATCTATCAAGTAGTTGAACAATTTTTGGTGGATCAAAGGACACTTAAAAGAGTCTCATCGAAACCCAGGAGCCAACCACATCTCAAATGAATCTCGAAACTGGATATGGACCTGCCTTGTAATTTTGAGATGTTTTTATTTGGCATAAGTGTCAACTGCTATTATCCAATTATAATCATTAATCCTTCACCAACAGCAACTGATAGAAAACTTGCGTGTGATTCAAATACAAATCATTTACAGGAAAGGATTACAACAGCTTTGTGCAGATGTTGCAACACTGATATGGACATATGCACACCGCTTATTATTGTAACATTGTAGAGTATTTCAATCACTTTACTGCCCAGTATCTTGTTTGTGTGTGTTTAGTGTTATGAGAACATGTGTGCAGTAAGACTGCAAAACCACAATCAGCACCACAGCATGCGAGTCACGGTCTACTCTGTCTCACCCTCTTTATGGGAAATATGAGTTACTACCATAATGTCAGGAGTACAGGGTACCACCTTTTTTAAAATTTCTCAGATATTCTTCTCACCTCATGATCCCACCATCATTAGGTGTGAGTCTCCTGTCACACTGTGGTGCTCCGATTCTTGGTGATGATGTCGCTGCCGTTATGGAGCTCACTTATGTTTATCTATGAGACACTTCTCTATCAAACACTAAATGTTTTTTTTTCCAAAAGGATCAAAAAGGCTACAACCTAATATTAAAGAAAGCCTGAAAGCTTTAGTGGAATTATAAAGACTCAGGAAACTGTAATAACTTATTGCTGTCTTTCAGCTCTCCAACTAACAGTTTAAAATCACTCATTTAAGGTTAGCTTTTCGCTCCTGATGCTTTTAGACGCCACTCTTCTTCCTCCTCTCATTTCCCTCATCCCCAAACCAATCGTGCCAGAACGCTTCCCCCTCCTTTAGCCTGGTTCTGCCAGAGGTCTCTTCATCATGTGTGTCCTCACAGGGGATTCTCTCTAATATATTAGGCTCTTTTTCATGTAGTATAAAGCACCTTATAATAACTGTTGTTGAACTGGTGCTTATTAAATAACAGGAATTGAATGAAACTGAATATAGCCAGTGTTATATTATGTTCATACTCCCTGAGGTTTCTCTCTTCAGTCTCCATCTCTCATCTGCTTAAGAGGAGCACAAGTTGCACCTGTGCTGCTGTTTCGACTGACTCTTAGCATGAGGTCTGGCAAGTGCAATGTTAGAAACGACCTGAATTTTGAAACCTGTCCTTAATATGCAGTAAATGTATACGAGTGAGGATGTAAGTATGTACTTGTGTTTCCGTTTGGACTTCACATACATACCAGGCCGTGTGGGGAGTCCTCTGTCTGGAATTGGACGAGCATCGACGGGTTCAACTACAGAAATACAGCGTGTAACAAAAATATTCAATATCAAACCACATTTTTAAAAAGTTAATTCAATTTATGTCACAAAATGTAGTGTGTGTTACCATGGTTCTCTGTGTTGGGCTGATTGAAGCTCTCAGGGTGAATGAACCCCAGCCCATCCAGGCCAGGGTCCATAGGAGCCGAGCTGTAGGCCTGATCAGGCATCAGAGCGTCGTTGCCATAACTCACCCTGCCATCCATCTGCAAACACAGAGGAATGTTAATCAGGATACGTGGCGTTTGGGTGGCTTTTTATTTATAACCTGATCAAATTATGATGTCTATGTGGAAAAGATCACTAATAAAACCTCATTTAAACAGGCGCAGTATCACAACATCATTTTCTTTGTTAATCGCTTTAATTACACCACTCCCATCACGTCAGTGGTTACAGTGACTTTGTTTTGTCATGTCAGTCTATGTGATTCCAATATTTATGCCAGAATGTCCACGTTCACAAAGAAGACTTTGCATTTGTGAGTTGGTGCAACTTGACTCACCCGACCATCGCTCTGCAGTGAAGAGACTTGCTGGAACAGCTCCGCCTGAACTCGCTGCATTATAATTGCTACAAAGAAAAGGAACAAAATGAGAATGAAGCAGATGGTTACGTGATGACAAATCCGAGAAAGGAATGTGGCGGTTAGAGGGAAAAACAAATCAAGGCTACACAATAGCCTAAAGTGGTGAAAGTAATCATGGCGGAATGAAACTGCATTATCAGTGTTTTAGTGTCCTGTAATCAGTGGACTTCAAACACATGTTAAAAGCATCGCTTTAATTCACACTACAGGGAGTTAAAGGGTACTGAATAAGTGTGGTTTGGATGGTTGTTGCATAACACAGATTGTATAATCTCAAGTTTTCTATTTAATCAGGACAACATAAGATCTCAGAATCTCTTTTTACATATGCTGCCCAAAGTAGCAGCACATACGTTACAACAGTTAAGTACATGCAATTAGATAATAAACATACATAAAAACAGAGAAAGAACCAAAATTTATAAACTTTGTTGTCAATAAAAAATGAATGCCTCAGTAAAAGTAACTGGATAATGCTGGAAACAAAGGTAATAATACTCAGGCGAAACATTTGCATCCGAGGAATTTAAAAATTGCCTTAAATTCATGAAGTTAGAGCAGTCCCTCAAGTTTTAGTTGACTCTCGCTTATTTCAGGAGGAAATTCCAAATTCCACATGACCCTTTGGGACAGGTAGAGGGAATGAATCTTGGGACCTTAGGGCCTAAAAGACAAGCTTCCCACACTTTTTTTGATGAACGCAATTACACTTGTTTTCTTAATAACGGCCAAAACTGGTCTGATTCGATATGTAGCCATCTGTAGTGGACTACAACGGTGAAACAGGGGAACTGAAAAAACCCGATGAAAGATGCAACATTTATTATCTGACTTTTTCACTCTCTTTTATGAGCTGAGACTCTGTCCGTTGAATATTACTGTCACTGTGGCTGGACTTATGCTTTGCCCTACACTAATGTTCAAAGGCATATTCACATTTCTGCCATTGTCAAATACAGGCTTTTGCAGTTACATATAATCTGTAGGAGTTGGTACACACCTCATGCTGTAACTGGCATATCTACATGAGATCTCCTCTGCTTCACCTTTCTTGGTTAAAACGCAAATCAAAACTAAGCTATCAGTCTTTCGATGAACCATGCTCGCCTTTATTTCTTTTTAATATTACATTCTGTTCCAGCATGGTCCCTTTGACCCACTAAGCACTGGTCTCTGCCTGAACAGCATGCCTTAGGAACGAATTGAGAAAGACTTTCTCCCAGCAGGTAAACTGCCCCTTCAAACAAACCAAACAAACAAACAACATAAAATATAAGTGAAAAACTTTAGTCATCGGCTTTCACAACAATTAAACAAACATGCTATTATATGCCAAGTAAGACGAGTGCTGACAGGTGGAAGGTTTTCCCCATTCTGAAGGCAACAAAACAGCCATTTAATAGGACTGTCAAAATAATCCCTTTATGTCTGCTGAGCACTTGTACCTCTTGCTGAGTGAGCAATTGCGTTTAGCATGTGAATAAAACAACAAGAATACTTTCATAGATTTCGCAACCTATGACCTAATTTTAATATCAACTGCCTAAAACCAGTGAGGCACTGGAAGCTACAAATGACATTTGGATGAATTCTCAGTAATAGATGTTTCGGGGATTTACTGTGATGAGTGTCCTCAACCTTTGACTTTTAAGAATAAGACATGAATAAACACATACCGACTTGGTTTTGGATCTCATTTGCCACACTTGGCACCTTGTAGAGCAGACCCAACGACTGATTCATCCTCTCATCAATGACACGAAGATGAGTCAACACCTGGAGATGAGAAAAAAAACCCACTTTGTGATCGTGTCTATTTTAAAAGCCGTAACTTATTTTTATGATGCTTAAAGACTTTGACTGTTTGATCCAGATACCTGAGGGCGGATCTGAGCAGCCTTCTTGGGATCGACTGTGCGGACGTGCTCATAATGCTTCAGCGTGTGCTGCCTGTCCTTCTGCTCTGCGCGGATGTACTTTTTCAGCAGGCTCAAAACTTGACGGGACTGGTGGTGGCACAGGGTTATGTAATAAGTGGAATTATAACACGTTGGATACGCTTCTTAAACATGTGCGCCTTGCTGATAAACAACCTCAAAAGACTCATTGATCAAAACTGTTTGGCACCAATTTAGAGTATTAAATCAATGTAGCGTTCCTGTTATTAGGATGTTGTTAGGTGTGTGGGGACGTGCACGTACCCGTGGAGGATTGGCCTGCAGGGCGCTTAGGTAATTTTCGAGAGCCCGGCGTCGGCGGCTGTTCAGCAGAGCTTCCACCCGGGCCATGTGGGTTTCCACCAGCTGCTGCCTCTCCCCCGCTGCCTCCTGCTCCAAAGCCTCCACCTTTATCTGGAAGTGCTGCAGATACAGTACTTTTTACACAGTCGGTATATGAACAAATACCCACACTGCATTACGGTAGAAACATGTGTTTGGAAAGAAGAGGTCTGTCTTATTTCCACCATTAAATACAATGATACACTTTCAACCTCAGGCCTGACAGATATATTGGCTAACAAGTATCACAGGCTGATATTGGCCATCATCATTTATTTATCTGAAATGTATTCTACAGGGTTAAAAATACTGACGACCTCCAATGCTACTCCTCAGCCTTCTTGAGTTATCACATTTACAAGATTTTCAGAAGACTTGACATGTGGACCTTGAGGTCAAGTATTTTAGTAGATGCACATATGGTATCAATTTTCAAATTTTACGTTGCCTCATTCTTGAATTGTCTTGTTCATAAACTTGGATGTCCATGCTGCTCGCCCAGCCACCCATCGGGATGACGACAGCACCCCATCGTCCTTTTACTGCTCAAGTGTAAGTTTAACCTCTCGCTGACCCTTTTCAGAATATCAGCTGACACATCGTCAATTACAATTATTAAATCTTATTTTTAGCTCCCTGTCGCAAACTCCATGGACATTTAAATCCATTCAATTCATTGGGGTTAATTAAGATATAATAACTCACTTAACTGGCTTTAAATGTAATCTCCCTTATAAATGCACCCGTAACCAAGAAACTCTAAATTCTATTTCTCTTAAACTTTTGCCAAATTTGTCCAGGATAATATAAATCTCAGTTATGTAATGTATATGTATGTAATGTAACTCTTTTTGGCAATTAGACATTTACAGCAGACACTGTGGCCTGATTCCTACCTGGATGACTGCTTTCTTGTCTGCACGAGGCAGATTCTTGGCCTGCCTCTCAGCCTCCTCCCACTCCTTCATAACCTGAAGTGTCAGATTGAAAGAAAAAGCAAGACGCTTAAGCTTCTGTCATGGTCTACATCAGCGGTCCCCAACCCCCCGGGCCTCGGACCGGTCCGTGAGTCGTTTGGTACCGGGCCGCGAGAGTTGAGGCTCAGGTGTGAAATGTATGGTTTTCAGGGTTTTAATCGGTTTTCAGCATTATTTTGTTATCGTTTTTATCGTTAACTCGGTTTTCCTGGGTCTTTTTACGCGTGTCATCTTTTTTTTTTTTTTTTCTGTACCGGTACTAGTTTTATTTTGTTGTATTTATCCGCGACACCTTAAAGGCCGGTCCGTGAAAATATTGTCGGGCATAAACCAGTCCGTGGCGCGAAAAAGGTTGGAGACCGCTGGTCTACATCACATTGAGAGGAATGCTTACGATAAGAAAACACACAAACACACACCTGGGACATCTTTTCACGGTGTTTGGCTTCCAGGCTTTCTTTGGCCTTCTGGAAGTCTGTGTGTTCGCTGTCGTCACCGGGTGATTCCAGGTAGCGATCCACAGCGTCTGGAGGACTGGGGGCCATTGTTGGTACTGGATGAGAGTACGGGGAGATGGGAATTAAACACAGAGCAGTTGAAAGCAAACTGAGGCGCAGAACAGAGATAGACAGATGTTTAAATGCAGGAAAAACACTGAAATCGGTCAGCTGGAAACCCACAATGCATTCAGTTATAAACAATTCCACTTGTTTGATGAAAGGGTGGGTTAGGGACTTGAGAGATTAGGTACACACAGAAAATTAATGGAAATTCTATGTAAATATTTACATAAGAGATAAGCAGGATTTCAGGGGACAGAAAGTGAAGTGTTTCCCACAGTTTTGTGTGTCTGTTGAATGTGGGACCATGGAGATAAGGACTGCTGAGTCAGGATGAGGGCCGACTGTATCGCTGATGATTTCGCCGTGAGGAAACGGAAACCAGCTTAAAACTTAAAAGAGTGCATTCCTTTTTCCACACACACCACCAACACACATCTGGTTAAGACACACCGATGAAATCTTCACTACTACAGAGCTGCAGGCACAATTTTTTTCTTTCTTTTACAAACACACACTGCAGTGTGAAGCATGCAGACACACACGGGTATAGAAACACATGCAGACACAAGGTGGCATTCACCGTTGGGTCTTCACACTGTTATGACGGCGGTGCGGGTTAGAAATGATTCAATGAGTGATTAAATGGTTTGGAGGTGAACGACTGTGTCATGGCCACTCTGCACCATGGAAACTCTCCCGTTGGCCAGTAGGATTTAAAAAACTAAACTAAACTAAACAAAAAAAACAAAAACAAAACACTGCTGGCACTGAGTCACGCACTAATAAAACTGCAGTTTATCTTCATTTAATCCCTCGTTTATCATTCTAATTAAGCAGAATTAACCCTGTTTTAGTGATTTGCTTAAACCCACAGTGTCCAGAGGTTTCAGGGAGTAATCAGCCTATTTAAATAATGAAATTTATTTTTTTCATATTTCATATGTGGGTTTGACTTATAAGAGAGTTCTCATAAAGAGGTATCTGAATTGCAAAGAAGCAGTGAAATCACAGATCTGTGAAGCCTGCTAACACGTTAACAATATTACTTATATAATGTTAAAGTCACTTTTCAATGCAAATTAGTTTGATTTGTAGGATTTCACACATTAAAACGAACTAGGAAAATAGGATTTCCAAAAAAAAAAAAAAAAAAAAAAAAAATCTACATGCCACGTTATCTGTTGTTAACGCCAGCAAGGATGTATTTCAACATCGAGCTACCACAGGGTGAGTACACTATTGTGCAAGCTACACCTGTTAAGAACACAAAAGAATGTTATTGAAAATTATGTAAACATTTGAGCTGCACTCTTAGCCAAAAACCCCACATGTGTTTGTTTAACGCTGTGTTTGAACCTCATGTGCTACAGTGAAATCTATAACAAAGGCAGCAGCTAAACCCTCTCGAGGCAGGCGTTGCCGATTTGCAACTAACAATCTGATTACCCCACATACATATTTTATGAGTTTTTTTTACTCAGAAGTACCACTGCAGGACTTGGTTGTGCATTAGCAACAAAAGGTTTAATTTGAGCCTGAGAGGGTTAATGTTAGAGTTAGGGGGGGGGGGTTCTCTTTTTACCTAAAAAACAAAATGAGCAATATTCCCCAGAGTGTCAGCAGTTATTTAGTACACTGTATGTGTGCCACATTTTCACTTTTGACTTTTGAAAGATTTTTCTCCTCAGGTAGAACTAACAATGATTTGGTCCTTTTGAACTAGGTTTGCTCACAGCCTTGTAATGTTGTGGCCCTCTTTTTTCTTCTTCTTGTGTCTACTTTTGCTTTCCAATTCAAAAATACAGTTTCTATCTTGATGGAAAAAATGATGAAATGAATGAAACTACAGCCAGTTGTCAGTGCTCTGAAAGGTTAACAGGCCTCAGACGGTAAGGTCAGTGAGAGACAGAAAGAACGAGCGAGCCAGAGAAACAGTCTGCAGCAGCCTGAGGACAGGAATCAGGCTCCTGATGTGGACACTTCAGGTTGTAGCTTCAGTCCCGGGACTTACACGAGCTGCTGCAGACAGCGAGGCAGTACTCCTCCGACTCAAAGTTATTCCTGTTGCCCCCACAGCCCCCAAACAAGAAGGGGGCGCAGCAGCCCGTCTCAGGCATGAAGTACCAACGCTCCAGCATGGCGTGACATGGGCCTGACTCAGCACTAGCCCAACAAACCGCTGAGACATGTACACATAGGCAAATTAAACATGAATGCAAAAGGTGAGGTTTGGAATTTTATGGGAGACAGAAGTAACTCAACATAGCGACACATGATGGAAATCAAACCATGAACAAAAAACAAACAAACAAAAAAACTTAAGGAGAGTGAGAAGAGGGCAGAACTGCTTCATTTCTCACCTCTAACGACCTCTTCAACTGACTCAGTGGTGGTGGTTGTCGTTGTTGTCATGGCGATGTTAGCGTTGGGCTCATCGCCATCTCGGTCATCCGTCATATCGACTTCCTCGTCATCTTCTTCTCCATCCCCGTTGTCATCCCTTTCAAACGTTTCCACCTCTTCGTCCACATCCTCGTCATCCTCCCTGGCGGCCAGCTGTATGTCCGTTGGGCGGGTCATGCTGCGGTCAGAACGGGTGGTTCAGCCTTTGTATCAACAGGCGTGCACAGAAACGAGTCAAAGTCCACCTGTGATCGTACCTGTTATCAGAGTATTCGCTCTCAGCTCCGCCCCACCACACATCGGATTCCTCCCCCTGAAGCTGTGCGCTGTCTGACTCCCGTTCAGCCCAGGCCGGGCAGCACACAAACTCCACCCCTCGAAAACGGTCTATACCACATGGCAGCAGCATCCCGTAGTCATGGAGATTCATGGAGCGGTCTCCGCAGTACTAATTTTAACAGCACACAGCATCCAAAATCAAACACCATAATGTTCAATCGGTTTAATCCTTATGAGAGCTAATTGTGGCAAACCCAGAAACCTGAACTATGGCTTACTGAATATAAACAGCACAGAAAAGGACAAGAATAACTCAGAAGAAAGTGCCAGGGAAGGCTGACAGCACTGAGTCATACAGTGGCGCTACCACAGAAACAGAAGGACAATGAGGGAAGCAAACAGACACAAAAAGCCACCCTCCTCACCTCTTTGGCTACAGTGTGCCAGTACAGGTGGCTCTCGCATTGATCCATATGCTCCTGGTGCAGAAACTTACACTTGTCGGGAACGAGCAGGGCGTCACTCACAAACTCTCCTACTGCAACAGAAATACACCTTTTTGCATGTATTGTACACTTTTAAAGATGCAACCATGCATAAACACACTCAGTAACAAAGGGACTAAAAAAAGCTCACCCAGACAGCGGTGTGGCACCACAATATGTGCATGACTGCGGCATTGCCTGCGGTCCTTCCTGCACCAGTTGGAGATACTGACAGGCTGGTTGGCCTCCACAACATTTGTAATCTGCAGCTCTGGGTACACCTGTGCAAACATGGGAGATTTGAATGTTATTGCTGCAATACTTCATACCTCTCTCTCTCTGCAGTGCTGTTTTACTCGGTTGAAATACCTCCTGGCAGTACTGCAGGATGCCCTCCTTGGTGCCAATGCAGCTCTTGGTACCAGAAGGGTCGGACTCCCATTTGCCGCTCTGCACATTGATGTGCATGTTGAGCTTCCCGCAGAACATGGCCACCTGGGGCTCGGTCAGCAAACCCACCGAGTCATCATCTGGCACCTGGACAGAGAAAAAGTATAAAACAGAACAATAACGAAAACTACCAAACTCCCTAAAGTATAGCTTATCCATAAATATCTCATCATGCAGCTTATACAGTGGGGCAAAAAAGTATTTAGTCAGCCACCGATTGTGCAAGTTCCCCCACCTAAAATGATGACAGAGGTCAGTAATTTGCACCAGAGGTACACTTCAACTGTGAGAGACAGAATGTGAAAAAAAAATCCATGAATCCACATGGTAGGATTTGTAAAGAATTTATTCGTAAATCAGGGTGGAAAATAAGTATTTGGTCACCTCAAACAAGGAAAATCTCTGGCTCTCACAGACCTGTAACGTCTTCTGTAAGAAGCTTTTCTGTCCCCCACTCGTTACCTGTATGAATGGCACCTGTTTGAACTCATCATCTGTATAAAAGACACCTGTCCACAGCCTCAAACAGTCAGACTCCAAACTCCGCCATGGCCAAGACCAAAGAGCTTTCGAAGGACACCAGGAAAAGTATTGTAGACCTGCACCAGACTGGGAAGAGTGAATCTACAATAGGCAAGCAGCTTGGTGTGAAAAAATCAACTGTGGGAGCAATCATCAGAAAATGGAAGACATACAAGACCACTGATAATCTCCCTCGATCTGGGGCTCCACGCAAGATCTCATCCCGTGGGGTCAAAATGATCATGAGAACGGTGAGCAAAGATCCCAGAACCACACGGGGGGACCTGGTGAATGACCTGCAGAGAGCTGGGACCAAAGTAACAAAGGTCACCATCAGTAACACACTACAACGGCAGGGAATCAAATCCCGCAGTGCCAGACGTGTTCCGCTGCTGAAGCCAGTGCATGTCCAGGCCCGTCTGAAGTTTGCCAGAGAGCACATGGATGATACAGCAGAGGATTGGGAGAATGTCATGTGGTCAGATGAAACCAAAGTAGAACTTTTTGGTATAAACTCAACTCGTCGTGTTTGGAGGAAGAAGAATACTGAGTTGCATCCCAAGAACACCATACCTACTGTGAAGCATGGGGGTGGAAACATCATGCTATGGGGCTGTTTTTCTGCCAAGGGGACAGGACGACTGATCCGTGTTAAGGACAGAATGAATGGGGCCATGTATCGTGAGATTTTGAGCCAAAACCTCCTTCCATCAGTGAGAACTTTGAAGATGAAACGAGGCTGGGTCTTCCAACATGACAATGATCCAAAACACACCGCCCGGGCAACAAAGGAGTGGCTCCGTAAGAAGCATTTGAAAGTCCTGGAGTGGCCTAGCCAGTCTCCAGACCTCAACCCCATAGAAAATCTGTGGCAGGAGTTGAAAGTCCGTGTTGCTCGGCGACAGCCCCAAAACATCACTGCTCTCGAGAAGATCTGCATGGAGGAATGGGCCAAAATACCAGCTACTGTGTGTGCAAACCTGGTAAAGACCTATAGTAAACGTTTGACCTCTGTTATTGCCAACAAAGGTTATGTTACAAAGTATTGAGTTGTATTTTTGTTATTGACCAAATACTTATTTTCCACCCTGATTTACGAATAAATTCTTTACAAATCCTACCATGTGGATTCATGGATTTTTTTTTTTCACATTCTGTCTCTCACAGTTGAAGTGTACCTCTGGTGCAGATTACTGACCTCTGTCATCATTTTAGGTGGGGGAACTTGCACAATCGGTGGCTGACTAAATACTTTTTTGCCCCACTGTATGTACCAAGTTCCTCTGAAGTCATTCTACTGCATACTTCAAATATAAAGTAGTGAGATTAGTAAGTCATAAAGATGAATGCTTTTAAATTCCTCAACAATACTACTGCCATAGAACAGCACATTTTTTGTTTTCTTAATCTGTCTGTCAAGTCTGGCTTTACTCCATTAGTTAAAGTACAATGGGAGTGTTCAGAAGGGAAAATAAAAGTAATCTACAAGGTATTAAATTCTAGCTACGAAAAAAAACCCATAAGGTATAAATAATGTCTTTCCATAGAACCGGGTTTGGCAGTCGATTTCATAGGATACTGCTATCAGCATATTTTCCATCCTTTTTGTTTGGGACACAATTGGTGGAAGTCTCGATGTGTTTTCGCCTTTGTGAGGCCTTGATTTTCTGGCAGATAACACAAAAAAGCTGATGGTGCACACTGACAAAACGCTAGCCTCTGAGCCAACTGTTGTCAATTATTAAATGACTAATTCTGACATTATGATGCGTTTGCCTGTGAATAACAGCACATAATTAGACTCCTGTGAATATGCATGTCATAACCCATTGTTTCTAGTAGCTGTTCTGCCTGGTCTGCATTATGTTACCCAATTACTCACTTATTTATATTTCTAATTACATCTTCTTGGGGCATATCAACTGAGGATGTGTGTGGTTTAATATCTGCTGAAGGGCACATCATTCCACTCATAGCTATTCACCCCATATACTAGGTGGGTGTCTCGCTCCAAATATCTGTAGCATCAATACTAACGCTGGTACTAGTATTGGATCGATACTAGCGCAATAGGATCGATACTTTGTTTCTACCCTCCGAGTTCAGTATACAGCCCACTGAATTGTGTTAAAAAATATTTTCTTTTGGAAATGTAAGAATAAAGCTCAAATATTAATTTTAAAAAATGTCTGAAACTTTTTGTGTTGACTGTCACATTTACTTTATTCCATCTTATAGCACGTTTAAACAACAGAAGTTCACCCAAAGCACTTCAGAGAGGGGCAGGTGTGCATTCCAGGTCTCACCCCAAAAAAGCCAAAAAAGCAGTCTCAAACTACATGAAAAGCTGAAAGCTGTGAAAATCATGATTTAGTGGTCATCAAAATGTGTTCAAAAACCTTCTTGTGTCCTCTGTAGTTAAACCTAGTTTTTACCAACTAGGTCTAATCTCTAAAGCCAAGCCATACTTACCACATGAGGATCTTGAAAAACATATTCATGCCTTTGTCACATCTAGATTAGACTACTGCAACTCCCTATACACTGATCTCCAATCTGCCCTTCTACATAGACTGCAACTTTCTCAAAATGCTGCAGCACGCCTCTTAAATGGAACTGGTAGGTTTGAGTCTATTACCCCAATTCTCTTTGACCTACAATGGCTTCCCATTAAATATCGCATTGATTTTAAAATCTTATTGCTTACTTTTAAAATCATAAAAAATATTGCACCTAGCTACCTTACTGATCTTCTCAGCCTCTATATTCCCAGGAGAGCACTGAGATCAACAGGCTTATTGCTCTTGGTGCAACCTAGGTCACAGCTAAAGACCAGAGGAGACCGTGCTTTCGCTCCAGTTGCACCTAACATCTGGAACAATCTCCCACAAGCTATTTGCGTGTCTGATTCGATCCAGACTTTTAAATCTCAATTGAAAATGTATCTATTTGGTTTAGCCTTCCTGGCTATCTAGAGTACGCTTCTTGTAAGTATACTCTCATGGAACCCCTTTTCTTCTGTTTTGTTGAACAATGTTTTGTATTGATTTTACCTTTGAAGTTTTATTTTGATATCTGCTTACCTTGTATGCTTGATTAATCAATGCTTTCTACCTGCTAGCTTATTTGCATTTGTATTTTGCTACTACCGGTACTTTTACTGGATTTTGTGAAGCACTTTGGTGTACCTCTGATTTTAAATTTGCTATACACATAAAACTGTATTGCATTGTACAATTTGCAGATTGATGATGCTTTAGATCATAAAGCAACCTCTTCTCGGTGAGAAGCCGGGGCTTGGGAGAGCCCGATTGTCCTGCGGAGACGTTTCCCATAAAGCTGGCCAACATGATAGACAATGGGCAGGGCTGTGAGTACTCAGACTGTGTTTACTGAACGCAACATGGATAAGATCTTGGAGAAGCTCATGGCTCTGCAATATGGATAAGATCTTGAGGTGACACTGCAACGGGAATTGAGAGACCTGGTGGCCAGTGATGGACATTAGACCAACTGCAAAATTGGATGCAGTTTGTTTGCACTGACCAAAACAACTACCATCTCACCTCATTCTGCCCCCTGGCACCAGCTGGATGCTCAAGGCAAAAGCTGATAGGAATAACAAAATTCTCCCTTAGATAACAAAACTGTTTTTGTGACTTTCTCCCACCTCCTTCAAGGCCACCCGTGTTGACCAAAGATTGTGGACTTTTGCCTAATCGAGTAAAGGGAGACTTTCTCTCGGCTGAACACGGAGAAAACACACACACACGCATATGGGCTCAAATTGTGGTCATAAATATTTTGTACTTTTAAATCAGGATTTGTATATGTAAAAAGAATTTGTGCGTGCGTAAAAAAGATTTGTTTCAAGTTACAAGTACGAATTTTGACCCTATTTTTCTTCCTTTCATCTGGTTGGTCAATGTCATGTCAATCACAAATGTAACTATCCAATCAGAGAATAGATGGGTTTGTCTGTCAGAGGGGCACTTTTTTAAACTGCAGGTCCTTGAAGGGTAATACAGTTGGAAGCTAGAGGATCTCTATGTAAATATCCGATAGAAACTAGGTCCCCTAACTTTCAGTAGCTGTTGAAAGGATAAAGTTGTGGTATATTAGTGGTTAGAAATACCATTATTACTTTAGGATGAGTTTAACACAAAGTCAGGGCTGACCCGGCTGCTGAGCTCTGTGGGTTTTTGCAGCAGCTCTACCTGTACTAGATGCACCTGCTCCTTGTCGTTTCTATCTCTGACTCTGACGCTGTTGAAAAGGCTCTGGAGGTCCCTGTATTAAGCACGTAAACCTGTGACACAAAACTCGGACCACCACAGACTGTTTTCCTTCGTGGTGATGAAGGAAAACGCTGTGCTGCACTGCTGGCATGTAAAAGGGCATTTATTCCCTTCAAGGACCTGAAGCTCCATAAAGCACCCCTCCAATAGCCAAACCCATCTGTTCTCTGATTGGATAGTTAAATTTGTGATTGACATGACATTGGACAAACAGAAGAAAAATAGGGTCAAAATTCATACTTGTAACTTGCAACTTGAATGCAGTTTCACACATATTTTTTTGGCTAAGCCCACACACAAATCTTTTTTTACGCACACACAAATTCTTTTTACACATACAAATCCTGATTTACAAGTACAAAATATTTATAACCACAATTTGAGCCCATACACGCACACGTATGCATGTACACTGACACAGACCTACCCCCCCCCGCTCCCCCCCCTCCCCTCCCTTCTCAAACTGATTTCCTGTTGGAACTCAGTCTGGGGGGAGTTCTCCTCCTTCTGGGTCGCTGCTTGTGTGGTCGACCGGCCAGTCAGCTGAGCAGTTTTGCGTTCTTAAACGTCATGCTGCTCTGTTGTATCTTAATTGCCCCTTGGGGATAGATAAAGTCTCTCTGACTCTGATAAATCATGACACACTGCCTTCCCTGGTTAAAAGTATAGGCAACACTGGCCCTTGATTTACTTGGTATCACACTGATATCAAATTTGCGTTATCACAGCACTACCATATACTCCATTACTTATTTATGTCTTTCAAAGTGACGCTGCCTGTTTTCATATTTAAGCCTCAACCAGTTTTTCATAAAGCCGCATGTTACTAGTAAACCAATCCAAGATTACCCTAAAATAACTTAATGTATTTTGGTGCTGCAGGGCTTGTATATCATTTTCACACTACGACAAAAAAAGAAAAAGAAAAAAACAATAAAACAAAAATAGAGAAAGCGAAATCACTACAGCATAATAGGCTTGTGTGTGCTGGGGTAAACTAAAGTGGCAAGAGAGTAAAACAATCCTCGGTATGCTTACCGTGACAAACCTCGTGGAAAATTATCATCTCTATATCGCCGGAGGCTTGGTGCGTAAAAGGCAGCACAATGCTGATTTCAACGTTACAAAACAAATGCAGCTCAAATGTCACGACAGACACGGGTATGGTGTCGATAGTGTGTACCGCATAATTTTGGTGTGGAGACATTTTCACTGCACCACACACAGGGGCTGGTGAGCCTGCAGCGTGAAAAACAACCCCTTCGCCGTGAATGTAACGTGACAATGAGGAAAAATGCACTAATTGATTTACAGGTGCCCATTCATCCTTTTTTCCAGCTGTCCTGGGCAACATATTCCTCTGTGGTCCATCAGAGGAACACCAAGCTGCAGGCGCCATCTTGCTTGTGTGAAACTAATAAGGCTGCATCCTTTTTCCATTCTCCTCAGCAGTTTCACCGCCCCGCAGCTCCGCTGGACCAGGCGGCCCAGCGCGATATTATCTACGCTATATAAAAATAAATAAATAAATAAAAGGCTGGTGTCACCGGACACAGCTGGGTTATTTACACACATGATAAACCCTTCTTGTTTTTCTAGAATGGTACTGGGTTTAAATCCGTCCAGGTATTTAACAGTGGACTTGACATTTACAGCTGTGTTGTCATTTTCTAGAAAAAAGCTAGCCACCGTTAGCTCCCCACACCCTTCTCGGTGCTATAACCCGGCGAAAGGCGTAGCGGTTAAACTGTTAATACTTCTCTTAACGTAAAAATCAAACATTAATGAGTAGTAGAAGAATGAAAAAAAAAACACTCCGTGATTAATAACATCCGACATGACAGGGCCAAGATACCAACCACTGACATCTAACGGTAGGCCGCGGTAGCATTGCTGACATTCCTGGTTTGGTGGTTTATTTTGCGCAGCGACTCTGTGTGTGTACACTGCAGGTCTGCGATTAAGGTGGATTCACAGGGCATATTTTCACCTCTGTTAAAAACAGAGGACATCCATTTATAGGATTAAAGGCTGCGTGGGCCGCTCACAAGCCCTTACATCGCGTTATCTTTGGCAACAGCACCTTCTAATAGCTCTTATGTCATCCATTAGCCACGCTGTGTTGTTATGACTCCATCTAATCTGCATATGTTATTTTTTAATAGTCGTTATGAAGATTAAACACGGTGTGTGTATGGAGAGGGGGTGTCGGGGTTAGTGTTTGACAGCTACGGTGGCATAAGAGTCTGGCCCAGGTAACGGTTAGCCGCCACAGGCTGCGGTTTCTCCGCTAAACTCACCTCGGATGAAAGCGTCAAGGTCGCCGCGAGTAACAGCAGAAACGCCGCGTGCTCCCCCATACCGTCCTCCCGGTGTCCAGCAGCGCCGTTATGTTCACGATTTGTCCGTTTGCACAAAGAGAAATGTCGGAATATGCGTCGACGCAGTGGTGGATGCTATTGTCCTGATCCTGCTGATCCAGCTCCCGGTGACGGCGCGAGGCTGGAGGATGTGTTTGGATTGGTGGGAGCGGGCGGAGGGAGCGCGTGTGTGTGTGCGCGCGCGCGCTTACATGTCATTGAGAACATTTACAGTAACAACTACAACATCACCCATTTCAAATAAGATTGTGTTGCATACATTTATGCTGCAAGTCTCTAATGTCCAAACCCACGAGTGTTTTAATATTCTTTGTCCTCAGTAGGTGGCGAGACTTTCGCCGCGTTAGTTATTGATTTCCTTTTATAGGCGTAGTGTGACGGTATTCCGGAGAGGACTTTCATTTCCCAATAACACGACGTCTAAGTGGAGTGGTTTGGCTCGAGGCGCACAGAAGTTACAGAGCTCTCGAAAATGTAGCATCAGAAAGTGTTGTCAGAAGGAGCAGATCAGGACAGCAGACTAACACAGATTATCAATCGCAATCTCGGAAATACAGATTACCTCTAGCAGCAGTCCACCCGTGGAGGAATTATGCGTTTTTTCCTGCTCTCCGCGTTTTTTGTGGTGTCCGCAGGTAAGTCTTCATGCCAATCAAAACATTTAAATGCAAAGAGATTTATGTCGTTCTCTTCTCATAAAAAGGGTACACATCAGAAATGCCAGTGTTGATTCTTCAATGTTAGCAAATCAGCACGACTTAGTGTTAAATTTATAACGCTAAGACCGGTGTAGAAATATTATTGGCACTGCTCAGTGTTAATCAATTAAGTAGGTCAGTCAATCTTCAACTTCAAAAGTGTTGATTTAACACAAAATATCTTCACGATGTTTCTTGAGTGTTAATTCTGCATTATATTTGCTGTAAATGCTTAAAAGACCTTCATCTGTTAATCGGTTGTCCGTTCCCAGGTCACACTTTCATGTCAGCTTTTAACACAAAAGTAAACTCTTGAACTTAAGAAGTTAAGACTTAATGCTAGTCGTGAGTTTTATGCTTCCCTCCCTGTTTCAGCTCATAGCTGGGTTCCCTTGACCCCTCTTGGAGGTATTCAGCAACACACTCCCAGTTTGCTTGTTTATTCTGAGTCTTGTTGCATCAACGGTCCATTAAGACATCTTTGGTCAAGATGTTATGAGACTTATTCTTGGGTGGAGCAATTCTATCACACTTACAATGATACTGAAAATTTTTAAATCTTAAATCTTGGATACCATATGGAGGTTATCTTAGCAGAAAAAAATCTTACTTGTTTACTGTACATGAAAAGCTATTAATATGCTAGAGAGATTGTGTTTGTGTATAGATGGAACTCAGATGGAGCTGGGACAGGGGTTTTAGTGCTCCACATGTTTGCTTTATGTGCAAAGATCCCCAGTTTGATTGCAGGAGCTCACTCTTGGCAGCCTGGATCAGAAAATCCAGTGAAGAATTTGTGCCAAATTAAACACAGATCCGTCCACCTGGGGAGTAGCCAAAAGTACTAATGTGTGAACTAGATGAAGTTAAGACCACATTCAATGAGTAACCAAATCATAAATAGTTTAAACAATTCAATTACATGTTCTGCTACAGCAATTAAAAATACCACAGTGTAAGAGCTGTTTGAAAAGATGTTCTTTTATAATCAAAACTGGATTAAAAAAGCTCACACATATTTTTTTGTACACACATTATCACCTTATGAAAACTACATCATACAATTTCTAATAGTCTTATTAGGACAGTTACATAATCATGTTAATTTTCGCACAGCTCTTACCTAAAAATCAGAAAGGTGAATCACTTGCGTGGGTAGAAATGCAAAGCAATAAAATCTGTAGTGCGTGACATCCTAAAAGACGTATCAAGTCAGTTCAACCTTGACTCATTCACCCAGATTCCCAGACGTGGATTAAAACTAACCCTGAACTAAAAGACTAAAACATTTCTAGTTCATGCCTTAATCTGTGAAACTTAAGTTTTAAGACTTATGAAAGCTTTAGCTCTTCCTTTATCAAAGACATTGCAATCATTTTTTGTTTTTTTTAAATCATACTTTTAGCTATGAGCTAAAGTGGGAGTAACTACTGGGCTGCTGTGGTAAAGTCTATTAGATTACTTAAGGTTCACATCTTTTAACACTCATAAAAGTTACAGTTTGTTTTCCTTTTTAGCAGTGAATGTTCATAGAAAGTTTTTTCACTAATGTCACGTGATGGGAAATGTGTTCTTCTTCAACCGTAAACCACTGTTAAAACAGCCTAGGGTGTTAAAACAACAAGGTCAAGTTCAGGTCTAACCTGTATAGGAAGGCAATCATTTGTTTTTAGTTCTTTCATTTTAGTATTTGTTTTAATTCAGTTTGTACGTAAGATTAAACAATCAATACTAAAAATCAAATTATGTGCTAAATGTGGTACAGTTACATGTAGTTATATATATATAAAACTCATACATTTTTAGTATTTAGTAATGACTAAACCTAATGCGAATCCTCAGAGATGCAATTTGAATGCACATATATACATTCTCCCCAAAAAATCTGAAATCTTTCTCATCAGAATCGAGAAATACTTTGATTAAAAGAATTTGATTATTTATAGATACAGAAACAAACACGCCTACTTTGTAAAATCCAGTAAAAAGTCACAGAAGACCTTTGCCTTGACTGTTTTAATTATTTTAGTTTATTGGAGATGACCTGAACTGTCAGGTCAGAGCTGTCTGTTTACATCGTCTGGTTATCATCAGCTCTTTCAGCTCTTTTCTTTATTCAATCTGAAGAAATGCAAACAAATTGAGGCTCAAATCTCTAACAAGGAGTGGTTGTGCAATCATGTATAGTTTCATGCCTAGAACATGTTGCTAAATTCCATGTAGCAATTGGCACAATAGAAGGGATTATAATTTGAATATAGAAATATTTAGGCAGTTATCACTTGAAGTGCAAAAGAACAACAGATGGAAAACATGAAACACACAAACAACTGTGCAGATGTACTGGAGATTTATCAGAAAGTGAAACAAGAGCAACAAAAGCAAACATGAGTGATTGTGTGGATGATAAATAAAAATGTGGCGTTCCCGGGTGGATTGTTTTAAATGTACAGTTGTTAAATATGATGATTGTTAATATTTCACGGGGAGGAATGTACTAAGCTAAACATTACACAAGAACTACATGAAAACAACTAGTTTTAACTAGTAGTTAGTTATTTAGTTCGTTATACTCACTATAGCCTATATAAATATAACACTTTATTAAGCTATAGGCACTTGACTTTCTGCTCTTTCTGTACTATTGATGAACCCAAATCACTGAATTGTGTTTTTATGATTATGCCAGGTCTTTTAGAAGATACAGCAAATCCTACATATCCTCACGAGAAATCCTTTCATCTGAAATTGACTCTAACAGCAGAGCTGTAAAGCCCACAAGTTGTTCCTCAGTTTCTCTGTGATTATTGAACTTTTGTGAAGCAGCAAGTTCTGTGTTTTCCTAT